GAAGATCCCACATGCTGCAGAGCGGCTGGGCCCGTGAGCCATGGCCGCTGAGCCTGCGAGTCCGGAGCCTGTGCCCCGCAACGGGAGAGGCCACAACAGGGAGAGGCCCGCGTATCGCAAAAAAAAAAAAAAAAATTCTCCTTAATACATAATAATAGCATACAGCATTATAATCTCAACTTATGTACTCTTCACTAAATCCTCAAAACTAACCTGTGAGATATATATTATTCTCTTTTCACATACAAGAAAATTAAAGCTCACAGGTACACCATATCTATAACACTGAGGGAAGAACCTTGGGTTTATTGAGTACTTGTATGTACTAGGACCTGTGCTAGTAACTTATCTAATCTTTTTTTTTTTTTTTTTTTTGTGGTACGCGGGCCTCTCACTGTCGTGGCCCCTCCCGTTGCGGAGCACAGGCTCCGGACGCGCAGGCTCAGTGGCCATGGCTCACGGCCCCAGCCGCTCTGCGGCATGTGGGATCTTCCCAGACCGGGGCACAAACCCGTGTTCCCTGCATCGGCAGGCGGACTCTCAACCACTGCGCCATCAGGGAAGCCCAACTTATCTAATCTTAATAAGACCCAAGGAAAGTGTCATGATTGCTTTACAGATAGTGATATGTAAGTTTAAAGACATTAAGAAGTTTGGACAAAGCAGTAGGCAATAGAGCTAAAACACAAATCCAGGTCTTATTTCAGAGTTATCTTCAAGGCACACATGCTTATTCTACTTGGGTTATTTATTTAGATATCCAATTTTTTTGATAAGAGGGATTATGCATCCATTTTCTACTGCATAACTGTCTCTCTACCATGTAGGCAAAGAATATTTTACTTCTTGATGATTATATTTTGAATATACTGCAGGAATACTAGACTTAGCTTCTACAAAAGCATGGTAACGTATAATTCTAAATTTCTAAGAAACCTCAAGTTTAGATCTTTTTCTTAGAAGATACATCCTGTTATTGACCCTACATGAATTTACCTGGCTCACATTTGACAATTATATTTGATTTTCATTATGCATTGCAGATCTCCCTATTGCCTGGTTCAGAAGTACTTAAGAAATGCTAGTTGAAGTTGTTAATGCTCTAAAATTAGGCTAAGTAAAATGTCTCCACAGAAGCCATGTATTTTTTACCATATACAAAGTCAAAATCACACTTCAGAGCTTGAAGCTTTCTTCAAAAGGTACCTAGTTCTACACAAGGTAAGTGTGGAACATCTTGTGACAGAAAGTAAGAAAATGTTCGAAGGATGGTGAATAAATGTCAAATGAACAGAGATGCTAGCCTGAAAGGGTTCCTAATGGCCAAATTTGGGCACCAAAATATAATGTAAGTAACAAACTATAACCTATTAAAGTTAGAAACCAGGAATCCAAACTGATAGAAATAATAAATGAATAAATTAAAAGTTTAATGAGGAATAAGGTATTTTCAGAGTCTTAAACTACCTGCCCACAAAATACTCATTATTTACAAAGGGGAAAAGAATAAATGTACAATTGGAGAAGCCTGGTTGAGACCATCTTAGTCAAGTGACCAAAGTGAACATCATTAGTGATGTAACAAATCAAATCATGTGCTTCCTGACAGGCGGCAACGAGAAAACCACAGATCAGCACATCAGCCCACCTGCAGCACTCAGAGCCAGACCTCTCAGCCAGCTGGGCCGGGACCAGCCCCGACAACCAGTACGCCTGCAGCAATCTTGGCCCAACCACAACAGGAGGGCACACACAGCCCACACAAAGAAGGAGGAGCACCTGGAGCAGCCGGCTCTGGTGACCAGGGAGAGGGTACCACCGGGCCCCACAGAACCCCTTTTACGTTAAGACCACTGTTTGAAGACAAGGAGATGTAGCTGATACACCTACTACATAGAAACAAACACAGAGAGTCAGACAAAATGAGGAGGCAAAGGAATACCTTCCAATTGAAAGAATCAGACAAAACCCCAGGAAGGAACTAAACAAAATGGAGATAAGCAACTTACCAGGTAAAGAGTTCAAAGTAAGTGATAAAAGATGCTCACCAAAATCGGGAGACAAATGGATGAACTCAGTGAGAACTTCAACAAAGAAATAGAAAATATAAAAAAGAACCAATCAGAACTGAAGAATACAATAACTGAAATGAAAAATATACTAGAGGGAATCAACAGCAGTCTAGAGGAAGCAAAGGAATGGATCAGCAATCTGGAAGACAGGGTAGTCGAAATAACCCAATTGGAACTACAAAAAGAAAAAAGTTTTTAAAAGATGAGGATAGCTTAAGGGACCTCTAAGACAACAACAAGCATACTAACATTTGCATTATTATAGGGGTCCCAGAAGGAGAAGAGAGAAAGAAAAGAGCACAGAATGTATTTGAAGCCATAATTGCTGAAAACTTCCCTACCCTCAGTATCAAAAAAAATATGAATAAAAAATAGGCAGAGGACCTGAATAGACATTTTTCTAAGGAAAACACACCGATGGCCAACAGACATATGAAAAGATGTTCAATATCACTAATCCTCAGGGAAATTCAAATCAAAACCACAGTGAGATATCACCTCATGTCTTTCAGAATGGCTATTATTAAATAGACAACAAATAAGTATTGGCAAGGACCTGGCAAAAAGGGAACCCTTGTGCACTGTTGGTGGGAATGTAAATTAGTGTGGCTGCTATCGAAAATAGTATGGAAGGTCCTCAAGAACTTAAAAATACTGGGTTGGGCAAAAAGTTTGTTTGGGTTTTTCCATAAGATTTTTTTTTTTTTTTGGGCAAAAAGCTCGTTTGGGTTTTTCCGTGGAGAAACCCGAACAAACTTTTTGGAGAACCCAACAGCACTACCATATGATCCAGCAATTCCACTTCTGGGTATTTACCCAAAGAAAACAAAAACACTAATTCAAAAAGATATATGCACCCCTATGTTCACTGCAACATCAATTACAATAGCCAAGATATGGAAGCTACCTAAGTGTCTCTCAATAGATCAATGAACAGAGTATGTAGTAAAAATACACACAATGGAATTACTCAGCCATTAAAAAAGAATGAAATCATGCTGTCTGCAATAACATGGGTGGACCTAGAAGGTATTATGCTAAGTGAAATAAGTCAGATAGAGAAAGACAAATACCATCTGATTTCACTTATATGTGGAATCTAGAAAACAAAACAGAAAGACTCACAGATACAGAGAACAAACTGGTGGTTGCCAGAGAGGAGGGGGATGGGGGCTGGATGAAATAGGTGAAGAAGATTAATAGGTACAAACTTCCAGTTATAAAATAAATAAGTCTCGGGGATATAATGTACAGCATGAGGAATATAGTCAATAATATTTTAATAACTTTGGTGACAGGTGGTTACTAGACTTATGTGATGATCAATTCATATATATATATATGTATAAATGTCAAATCATTGTTATACACCTGAAACTAATATTGTACGCCAACTGTACTTCAATTTAAAAAAAGATGATAAAAGTTCTTAAATATAAACAATACATTCCCCTTTATTATAACATTATTCCACGTAAAACCCAACTTCTGCTTTTGTTCTGTTTAGAACCATGTTAAATACAAAAATGAACAGGAGCAGGTGAGGATGTGCTCAGCTGCTGAGTTCATAAAGGCGTTGGTGGGGGGTAAGCATAGCTTCTGCAAACTCTCCTTGTATGGGTGAAACCCATGCTAACAAGTAGCAAAGTGCCAAGTAGCCTGTTCTTTGTTGAGTCATGCTGTGTATCCACTATTGAGAATCAACTTACCAAACTGCTAAACTGCTTGTCTTTCATGTGTAAGCAAATAAAGGCTTGTTCCACTTTTATGTATAATTTATTTTTATGATTAGTATACTACTAAGGATAAAAGGACAGGATAAAAGGACGATCCTCCAATTGCCATGGAGAGAGGACCATGTCTAATTTCCTGTTCTTTGTAGTACTTTATATTGTTACCATCATTTTCAGTAACAATAAAAGTGTTCCAATACTTAATTATCCCACCAATAAAACAGACACCCGCCCCCCCCAAAAAAAGACTTGCTTATTCAGAGTATTAAGCCACACAAAGATTTTACATCAAAGAAATGACATTACCTAGCAAACTTCATGTCACCATTAGATGGAAAGGCTTACCAGGTTCATTTCCTGAGTCAATTCTGAGAGGATTATTACTCCTATTATGCAGTGTTCCACAGTACCCTTTGGAGAAAAAAACAAGTTTAGCCTAAATGGAGACAAATGATTGGTTCTTAATGTGTAAACCAGGTAACATTTACAAGTAATTAAATACTGAAACATCACATTTTCTTAAAATAGATCTAATAAAATATATAGAAAAATCACTATGAGGTCCACAAATAAAAATAATGTCAAGCTCATGTTTTTGAAGGATAAATTTAGGTATAGAGTTTAATGGGAAAAAAGCTCACCTACCTTAGAACTGCATGATACTCTATAAAATGTTTTCAGCACGTAGGACTTAAAATAAACTAAACCTCAAAATACAGGAGTGTAGTTTAATCCTTTCCATAAGACCACGAATAAGAAAGAACAAAAAACAATTTTTAGCTCTGTAAATTTGCTTGAAGATAGATACATTCAGTAAATAATTAATAACTTAGGAATTTAAATCCCTCAACCTAATACCAGATAAGATCACTTAGGCCCTTTTAATATTATTTAATAGTGCATGTATATGCATTTACTAAGGATCTATAATGAAGGCTTGTGAGCTGCCCAATGCACTGAGTAAATACATGACTATCAATACAGTATGATGTTTTAATGTAATCAGCTTCCAATTTAATCTCGATAACTTCCTTCAAATCAAAATTCAGATTTTATATGCACATTACTAACATATTACTCAACTGCAAAATCATATTGGAAGTATGAAAATAAAAAAATCTAACATCCAATTACAGTATAATAATTTTAAAAAAGCAATACAGATGATACACTTTTCAAGCCTTAATTTTATAGCTGGTCATTCCTTCTAACTATCACAGAATTTCACTAACACTGCGTCACTAGGTGTAATTAAATTCAAATTATCTCAAAAAAAATAAAAGAAACATCCATAATATTTGCTTTTTTTTTTGACTGCACTGGGTCTTTGTTGCTGTGCACGGGCTTTCTCTAGCTGCGCCGAGCGGGGGCTACTCTTCGTTGTGGTGCGCGGGCTTTTCATTGCGGTGGCTTCTCTTGTTGTAGAGCATGGGCCCTAGGTGCGTGGGCTTCAGTAGTTGCGGCACGTGGGCTCAGTAGTTGCAGCACGTGGACTCTAGAGCACAGGCTCAGTAGTTGTGGTGCACAGGCTTAGTTGCTCCGTGGCATGTGGGATCTTCCCAGACCAGGGATCGAACCCATATCCCCTGCATTGGCAGGCAGATTCTTATCCACTGCCCCACCAGGGAAGTCCAATTTTTGCATTTTAATTCTTTATGGCCCTTTAGGACAATCGGAACTCTATGATAAACTACAGATTTCACATTACTGAAGCACCCATCTTCTGTGTAAACCAGGCCAATGCTCCTTAACATGTCGTTCCCTGACCAACTGTTAGTCCATGAATCTGCTGGTAGTCTGCAAATTCGATTCTAATCTGAGAATGGTTTGATACTGGTCCATGACAAAGGAGTTTGCACCAAAATATACAACAGATAAGTCACTAAGTTCACTGTTTAGTTCAGCTGGCATATTTTTCATAGCAAGTCTCTCTCGATGACGGAAGCACCACGTTGATTTACATTCTGACATAAACTCCTTATCTTGCTGTGAACCAGCAATCTGAATAGCACTGTCCTAGATGACAGTAGTATTTCCTGGGTATGTATGTAGAAAGGAGGCATGTAAATGTTAGAAGTATGGCAGCAATAAGGTTACAATAACAGAGAAAAGAAGAGATACAAAATTTCAGGCCATTAAAAATTTAACAAACTTAAAATAATTTTTAGTACAAAATTCACAGAAGCTGTTATTACCCAAAGGAACCATGTGGTACTATTTTGGAGTACTAAAACACTAAGTCAGTTTTCTTTCTCATGACTGAAGGTTAGGTTAAGTCATATACCCAGAAAGCAAGTGCTTTTTTTGTGATACTGTAATAAACTTTGAAGAGAAAACATTTTCTGTTTCTTCTGGTCTTCCAAAACTGACAAAAGCACACTAAAGCCCAACTTAAGCTCAACTTATCAGCCATTGAAAAGGGAGCTTGAGAAATGTTAGCCAACAACAATGATTTCATTTCATTCAGTTTTCAACCTTGATTTTATTTTAAAAGAACTCTGAAGTCTATTCTTGTTTACAGTGAGTGTGTGTGTGGATTCTTGATGAGCTGTGTACAATCTTAGTAAAGGACAAGAGAGGGGTGCTATTGTGTTAGTCAAAATTATATGCACAACTATAAAGTGAGAAACTCATGTGTCACTGAATAAACTATCCCTCTGTCCCACAGCAGATCTCCTCAGGGCTAAAAATACACTTATTCTTGTGATATTTTAGATAATCAAATATTTGTTAACCAGGATTTTAACAATATGAATAAAAGAGAAGCAGAATAGTCTAGTGTTTCATATTCTGAGGTTTCTAGCATTACAATGTATGACGGAGTTACATCTCACATAGGGATTAAATCTGACAGTTACTGTATAAGCAATAACATCTCAGCAAGTCCAAACAGCCCCCTAATTGCCAATAAACCAACACTGAACATCTATTAATCCAAACTGCCAGTTTTTCCTTGAGAACTGTAACAGATCACTGCTTCTTCAGCAGAGCACCAACTAAGGTACTTTTCTTGCGATTAGGGATAACATTTGCATGAAAAAGTATGTATCTTTAAATATCTGAATCATACTGAGCAGGGCGTGATGGTCATCCTAAGAGGCATATACAGGAACAGAAAAGAGCAGGTTTAAGTTTCCCGTATCACACCCCACAACATAAAATACTATGTGGAATGGCAAGTGGAATCACTGGCACGGTTTACATTAGTGTCCTCTTGCTTTTCTTTTTTTTCTTTTCTTTCTTTTTTCTTTTTTTTTCAGTCCAAATACCTGAATTTGTGTAAGTTAAATGTGAGTATGTTGTAACTTTAATCATTTAGGTTAAAAACATTCTTGAGAATTTAGTATGACTCAATGTGGTATAATGTAAAAAAATTTTTAAATATATATATCTTAAGTTAGAAAACCTGTTGAAGTACGAGTACTATGCTTTACTAGATCACTATGCAATCCTATACAAATTACCTAACTTTTCTAAGCCTCAGTCTTCTCATTACAAAATGTAATTCCCTTCACAGAGATGTAATTAGCATTAAATGAGATAATACATGAAAAACATTATATACATGTTTTGCATATATGCAATACAAAGACACACGTGGTTACAAATGACAACATATATTTTTGAAATTATAAAACATTATAATTTGCATTCTTCTGGTTTGGAAGTTCTATGACATGATCCTCTTTTCCTGGCAATAAAAAATACAGGCTCCAGAGGATAAATAATAAACCATAATTAATATGGTTCTGGTAGCCACAAAACAAACCATATAACTTTAAGAAAAGCAGTTTTCTAAACCAAAAAAACAACTACTGATGTTCTTATAATGTAATAATGCCTTCTTACCTGAAGAAACTTTTTCACATCAGCAATAATTTCTCTGAAGACAAACTGGTCTTTCTGAATCTCAAACCACCCCAATTTAGTAATTTTAGCAATGACTTGAATTAGAGCTTGGATGACAAAGGGAGCCAGCTTGGGTTGTGATGCCACATAATTAAGAATGTAGTTTCCTGTAAAAAAATATTGTGATCATTTGGACTATTCAGTAACTTAATGCGAAGAATGTAAAAACAGGTAATGGTGACAACACATTCTTTGACAAAAAGTTAATCCCTTTCTCCAAGATATGTACTTATTTATAGAGTCAGTTCTCCTCTAAGGGTTATTTGGAAAAAGCAAATTTGTTCCAATTCAATTGATACATTAGGGGATAATATGAGTATAATGCGAATGTCACTTTCATTTTTGCATAATTTCATTTAGAAAGAAACACTAGGTGAATAAGGAAAATGGCAACCAAGCCAAACAACCAAGCCATACTCAAAATGCATGTTATCTACTAGCTATCTCAGTTCATCTCATGTGTTATCAGACTCATCCCTTTTGGTGTTACAATTTCCATCCTATTTCAGATCACCTTCCTTCTACCTTCATAGTAACTCACAAATTTCAACACTTCAATGAGTCATTTGTTGAAATGGGCCCCCTTCCACAAACTTCAGGTCTTCTTCAAGATAAAATGCTGTATTTATTCTACTATTTAGTATTTCTTAACCATCCAACATGTGTAAAACTCTACTATGTCTTTTATTAGATTTCTATCCTTTTTTTAATGTGTCATTGACAAAACGTTTCAATTTTATTTCCATAATCCCATTTCTCTAATAAGCCCTGTGGTTTTACTACATATCACTGCACAGCATAGTCACTTTTAGGAATACATATGTCATGTTATAGCAAAACTGACTACACACTATCTGGCTGTTTACACATGATCTTAGCCGAAAGGCCGAGAAGCGACATCTGGTTGTTTAAGTAATAGAAAAAAATACAAATAATGTAATGTGATAAAATAAGTACATAAGTTAAAGAAAGTACAAACAGAAGAGTAAAGCCTGGAGTAAAGTTAATATACCCAAATCATTAAAAGTGGGTAGCAAATTCAGCTATGAGCTTCCTAATGGAGGAGTGATTGAGGTTACAAATGGGCCACAAAAGTCTATCAGAAAAACAGAAGAAAAAAATTTCTTAAAGGGAAAAGATTCCATTTCTACTTTGGCCCCAAAGGCCAGCATACCATTTGGGAAAAGACTGAAGAAAAAGTAAATATTAATACTTCACTATTTAACTAAAAATAGCTTCAATGGAAACCCCAAAATCCAAGAACACTTTCAACAGCTGTTCTTGACAACTGTAATGAGAACCTTGATATAAAAAAGAAAAGTTCTCACAACTAGCACATTTCAACCTTAATTTTTATTAACATTAAAAATACACAGTTATACAAATAAAAATACTATTAAAAAGCACAGATTTTCCTAGCATTAAGATAAATCTGAAAGAGGTTTCTGCTATGGATTAAAGTAATATGGTTCTCTTAAGCTTCATTACATGTAATCTTTTATTTCAATAACAAAACTTATGAAAATGACACTGCCTCCTGAACATAAAAGAAAATCTGGTTTATTTACTTCTATTATTTTTATTTTTAGTACCTTGAAAAATTTTAACCCGGAGGGAATGTGAGAAATCTATATGTAGGTAGTGGTAACCACTGGGAGGGCAATCTCAAAAATAATAAAACAACAAAACAGGAGACAAACCAAGTTTCACATTTAAGCTAGGTACCTTAAGCACACCTTCCCAAACTCCCTGAGCAAAGATACTAGCTAGTAAGTTTATTATCTAAGGCAAAAAAAATTTAATAGACTGTATTTCTGTTACTTTAGTTGAATGTTTTACATAAAATATTCTCACGTTATGCTTATTACATGACCTATAATAGTGTTCCAGTTTAATAAGCAAGAGCCAATGATAACAATCAAGTAAAACAACCGCAATCTAATCATCACCAGCCCAAGATAATAGGGAAAAGCCATACCAAGAAGAAAATGAAATGTTCAGAAAGACACATGGGATAATGAAATAAACAGCTGGAAAAATTCCCCAACAAAAGTTAACAGAAATTTGGAAAGCTATGCACTAGAGGCTCTTTGAGTGTCAAATGCCTATATGATAACAACAATATTTAGCATTTATGAAACAAGTTAGAAATTAAAAGTGCTTCCCAGAAAAAAAAGCTTTATGTAGCTCTCACAGCAATGTGAAGATATTGCTATTATATTACTACTACTATAATTCTGTTTCCTAGCCAAAAAAATATGAAGGTCAAAGAGGTGAAACAACTTGTCACAGTGGCCAAATTGGGACTCTGAGTCAGGTTGTTTTGGTTTGAGTTTGTTTGTTTCCTGCTTTCAAATACCGGTCAAACCATATATTTTAGTAATAATTAGTAATTCAAAAACTCTACTAAGTCCAAACTTGTAGATAGTCTTTTGGAGTTTACTATCATTAGACTGATACTTTAGGTATTACACGTTATAGAAATTTAATATGAGGGCTTCCCTGGTGGTGCAGTGGTTGAGAGTCCGCCTGACGATGCAGGGGATACGGGTTCGTGCCTCGGTCCGGGAGGATCCCACATGGCGCGGAGCGGCTGGGCCGGTGAGCCATGGCCGCTGAGCCTGCGCGTCTGGAGCCTGTGCTCCGCGACGGGAGAGGCCACAACAGTGAGAGACCCGCATACCGCAAAAAAAAAAAAATTTAATATGAAATATTTTTGACTGATTAATTGAAGTCAAGTAAAAAATATGCCACAAAGTCTATCAGAAAACATACAAAAAGAATATAAAAGAAAGGGGAAAGACTCAATCTCTACTTTGGTCCCAAAGACTAGCATGTTATTCAGGAAAAAAATGAAGAGAAGGTAAATACCTCAACACTTAACTACAAATGCTTTGATGGAAACAATTCCAAATGCTGTGAACACAAAAATTTGAGCTATAATCTATGCCTTGAGAGCTAGCTTATAAAATATTTGGAGAGACAGACAAAAAGAAACTACCACAAGGAGATCAAGGTAAGATTCATCAGGTGAAGATGTGGAGAAACTGCAATGTTCACACATTGCTGCTGAGAACGCAAAATGGTATAGGCACTTTGAAACATAGTTGGACAGTTTTTTTTTAAAGTTAAGCATAAACTTACCTATGACCCAGCAATTTCACTCCTAGGCATCTACTCAAGAGAAATGAAAACGTATATCCACACAAAGACTTGTATGTCAGTGTTCATGGTAGCATTATTCACAGTGGCCAAAAAGCAAAAACAACCCATACGTCCATCAGGTGGTGAATGGATAACAAAATGTCACACATCTATACAAGGGAATATTATTCTATAATTAAAAAAATGAAATACTGACGCATGCTACAACATGGATGAACCTCAAAAACATTTTTTGAAGTAAAAAAAGTCAGATGTAAAAAAACTACACATGATAAGATTTTATTTATATGAAATATCCTCAGAAGGTCAATCTATACAGGCAGAAAACATCTTAGAGGTTGGTAGTATGGGAGCAGGACTAACTGTAAATGAGCATGGGGAGTTTGAAAGGATGATGGAAATGTTCACACAACTCTGTAAATTTACTAAAAATCAAAAATTGTACACTTAAAACAAGTTAACTTTATGGTATATAAATTATACCTCAATAAAGCTGTTTGAAGAGGGGAGTCAGCAAGGAAGGAAAGAGGGAGGGAGGGATGGAGTGAAGGACAGAGAAAGGGAAGGAGAATTGACTGATTTATATAGGTAATTAAACTTAAGCTACACTTTTATTTGAATAGAAGATTAAAAGGACAGCATTCCAGGCTAGAGAAACAACATAAGAAAAGGCACCAAGGCAGAAATAACATGGCATGAGGAAAATACCTTCTGGTACAAATAGGCTAGTACCAACGAGATATAAGGCTACAAGGATGGGACGATCCATCAATTACAAGCTCATGAAAGGACTTGAACACCAGGCTGAGGAAATGGTATTTAATTGATGAGCGATGGTAAGCCATCTTTAATTATACTAATATAGGTAGAAAACAGTTTGCTGGACACAGAGAACAGGCAACAGAGTTAATGTTGGGAAATAATGAAATACGTAGTCTGGGACCATATCATGAAAGAATGAGAATTTTAGAGTTGATGTAATAAAGGCAATGTGACTTTGAGGCAATCTTCACATTTTCCATTTTAACTGACATACCAATTATTCTATTGACACATGTCAGACATGTCATAACATTCTAATCTACTTGCAGAAGCAAGAGTAGTAACTCAAACCCAAGAAACTCATAAAGGAAACACATCATTTGTTGCTTGAAATTGTGCGGGAGGTTTCTACTTTTCTCTTTTTCCCGAATTTCCTTTAATGAGTGTACCTTTTTTTTTTTAAGTATCCATTTAAAAAAGATAAGTGCAAGAGACAATCTGAATAGGCCCATACCTATTAAATTAACTGAGTCAATAATTAATAACCTTCCAAAACAGCAAGCACCAGGCCCAGATGGGTTCACTGATGAATTCTACCAAACATTTAAGAAAGAAATTCTACCAATTCTCTACAATCTCTTCCAGGAAAAAGAAGGAGAGGGAATTCCTCCTAACTCATTCTATTAGGTTGGCATTACCTTAACACCAAAACCAGACAAAAACATTACAAGAAAACTTGTAGTTGAGCCAATCTCTCTCATCAATATAGAAACAAAAATCCTCAACAAATTATTAGCAAAGCAAATCCAACAATGTATATAAAAAGAGTTATATACCACAACCAAGTGGCATTTATCCCAGGTATGCAAGCATTGTTCAACATTTTAAAATCAATTAATGTAGTCCATCATATCAACAGGCTAAAGAAGAAAAATCACATGATCATAATAGATACAAAAAAAAGGATTTCAAAAATTCCAACTGCCATTCATGATAAAAACTCTCAACAAACCAGAACAGAGGGGAACTTCCTCAACTTCATAAAGAACATCTACAAAAAACCACAGCTGATGAATAAGATCAAAGAAATTAATAAATGGAGAGATATTCCACGTTCGTGGACAGGAAGACTCAATGTTGTCGAGATGTCAGTTCTTCCAGAACTGATCTGTAGATTCAGTGCAATCCCAATCAAAATCCCAGAAAGTTATTTTTTTTTTGGATATTGACAAATTGATTCTGAAGTTTATATAGAGGAGGCAAAAGACCCAGAAGAGCCTACACAATACTAAAGGAGAAGGACAAAGTTGGAGGTCTGACACTACCTAACTTTAATTTTTATAAAACTATAATAATCAAGACAGTGTGGTACTGGTGAAGGACAAACAGATCAATGGAACAGAATAGAGAACCCAGAAAGAGACTCCCATAAATACAGTCAACTGATCTTTGACAAAGGAGCAAAGCTAATAAAATGGAGTAAAGATAGTCTTTTCAACAAATGGTGGCAGAACTGGACCTCCACATGCAAAAAAATGAATCTAAACACAGAACTTACCCACTTCACAAAAATTAATTCAAAATGATCACAGCTCTAAATGTAAAATGCAAAACTATAAAAACTCCTAAAAGATAACAGGAATAAAATCTAGGTGACCTTGGGTTTGGTGATGATTTTTTACAAACAACAACAAAGGCACAATCCATGAAAGAAATACTTGATAAGGTGGACTTCATTACAGTCAAAAGCTTCTGCCCAAGAGATTGAGAAGACAAGCCACAAACTGGGAGAAAATCTTTGCAAAAGACCTATCTGATAAAGGACCATTTACTAAAATATACAGAGAATAAGAAAACAAACAACCTGATTTAAAAATAAGCAAAAGACCTAAACAGTCACCTCATTAAAGAAAATATACAGACAACAAATAAGCATATGAAAAGATGTTCAACATCATATGTCATTAGGAAACTGCAAATTAAAAACAGTAAGATTCTACTACACACCTATAAGAATGGTCAAAATCTAAAACAGTGAAAACACCAAATGTTAGCAAGGATGTGGAAGAACAGGAATTCTCATTCATTGCTGATGGGAATGCAAAACTGGTACAGCCCCTTTGGAAGGCAGTTTGGTGATTTCTTACAAATTAAACATACTCTTACCATACAATCCAGCCATCACTCTCCTTGGTATTTACCCAAATGAGGTGAGAACTTATGTCCACACAAAAAACCTGCTTTATAGCAGCTTTATTCGTAATTGCCAAAACTTGGAAGCAATGAAGATGTACTTCAAAAGGTGAACAGATAAACTGTGGTACATCCAGACAATGGCACGTCTGTCAGCATTACAAAGAAATGATCGGGCTTCCCTGGTGGCGCAGTGGTTAAGAATCTGCCTGACAATGCAGGGGACACTGGTTCGAGCCCTAGCCCGGGAAGATCCCACATGCCGCGAACAACTAAGTCTGTGGGCCACAACTACTGAGCCTGTGCTCCGCAATAAGAGAAGCCACCGCGATGAGAAGCCTGTGCACTGCAGCAAAGAGTAGCCGCTGCTCACCGCAAAGTAGAGAAAAGCCCGGGTGCAGCAACAAAGACCCAGTGCAGCCAGAAATAAAATAAATAAATAAATTTTAAAAAAAAAAGAAAGAAAAGAAATGATCTACCAAGCCATGATAAAACATGGAGAACCTTAAATGCATATTACTAAGTAAAAGAAGCCAATCTGAAAAGGCTACACACTGTATAATTTCAACTACATGCATTCTGGAAAAGGCAAAACTATGGAAACAGTAAAAAACATCAGTGGTCGCCAGGAGTTAGAGGGGAGGGAGGGATGCATAGTTGGAACACAGTGGCTTTTTAGGGCAGTGAAACTATTCTGCATAATACTATAATGGGGGATATGTGTCATTTATACATTTATCCAAACCCATGGAATGCACAACACTAAGAGTGAACTCTAATATAAACTATGGACTTTGGGTGATGATGATGTGTCAATGTAGGTTAATCAACTGTTACAAATGTACCCACTCTGGTGCAGTATGCTAATACTGGGGAAGGCTATTCATGTGCAGGGCCAGGGGGTATATGGGAATTCTCTGTACTTTTTGCTCAATTTTGCTGTGAACCTAAAAGTGCTCTAAAAAAATAAAGTCTACCTAAAATATGTGTGTTTATGTGTATAAAAGTCAAACAAACAAAATCACAATGTTTTATGACAGGTTTATTAATGTTTGAACCCTTATTTTTTAAACTGTAAATTTCTCTTTTGCTTTCTTAAGCATACAAGTCCATGAGAACATGGATAAATTCTCCTCTAGGTTTTCTTCAGCCTGGTAGGTTTTTTTTTTTTGGTAGATGTTCTTTATCAAGTTGAAGGAGTTCCCCTCTGTTATTAGGTACTTAAAAGAAATATCAGTCAAACATGAGGCAAATGACAAATCATTGTGGGATTTGACCATTCAAAAACTGAGCTTAAAGAACCATCATATATAATACTACACTTTAACTTTTCTGTTACACAAATATGAATCATGTAAACCTTGAGGCTGGAGAGCAGAAATGAGTCAACAGTCTATTATGAACAAAGATAACAAAAAAATTCCCATACCTCAACTATCAGAGTTTTGTCCATACGAAAAACAAATTCACACACTTAAAATATGAAAATACATTACTTCTGAAAGCATATTGGTACATTATAGAATCAATTTTCCAACTACACTAAGTTCCAAGCACTGTTCATCGATATACACATTATTTTCCTAATAAGTAGGAATCTGCTTTTGATTTTATATGCATCCCATATGATTTTGATATAGGATCCTGAGAAATGCTGGAGAGTACACTTCTTTCCCATCATTTAGTTGTATATGATGTTAAGATAATCGCTAAGAGCATGGACTCCACAAAACTTGTGTAAGTTTGAATCACAGCTCTACTTCTTGCTAGATGTGGGATGATCTTGGGCACATTATAGAGCCTATCAAATCTAATTTCCTCATTTATAAAATGAGGATAACAATAGTGCCCATCTCAGAAGTTTGATAGATAAAATGAGATAGTGCAAATCTTAGTAAATAGTACAGACAATAAAATGCTAGTTATTACTTATTATCAAACTAAACAAATGCTTTTCTGACAACACATTTTTGTATAACACATTGTTGTTTATCACTACATGTGTAAAGGAGACTTGACTACTCATCTTTAAAAACGACAATAAAATAACTTGCAAGCCTGTTAACAGTTTAGCATATTTAAAAGCAAAAATTATTTTTAAAGTGCAATTTGATAAAAAGCATAATAAACCACTTACTGATATCTATTCTTTGTTCAATCGGCAAAGGACTGACTCGGCTAATAAGTTTTGAAAGACATGTTGCTGCAAGGAGTTGAGCATAGGATGTCTGTAAAGAAATATAAATTTTAACAGATTAATCAAAATACTATGATAAGGGAACTTCCCTGGTGGAGGAGTGGTTAAGAATCCGCCTGCCAATGCAGGGGACATGGGTTCAATCCCTGGTACGGGAAGATCCCACATGCCACAGCGCAACTAAGTCCATGCGCCACAACTACTGAGCCTGTGCTCTAGAGCCAGCGAGCCACAACTAGTAAGCCTGCACGCTCTAGGGCCCGCATGCCGCCGCTACTGAAGCCCACACACCTAGAGCCCAAGCTCCGCAACATGAGAAGCCACCCAGCTCGCTGCAACTAGAGAAAGCCCACGCGAAACAACGAAGACCCAATGCAGCCAAAAAAAAATACTATGAACTTTTCCTAAGCAATATTGGGAATTTTTCTGGTTTTCCAAACTGGCAGATTTACAAGGGATAAAACACACACACACACACACACACACACACACACACACACACACACACACACACACACAATCCCTCATTAGGGTGGGGTAGTTGAGAAAGGTATAGGTAGCCTTTTCAAACGGCAAGCAGTTGTTGGGCTACTGAAGCCCGCGCACCTAGAGCCCATCCTCCGCAAGAGGAAAAAAATGATTATGAGCAAGTTCAAATAAAATACACTTACCATGTCTACATAGTCCTGCATGTTCTGCCCTCTGATTATCTCTTCAAATTCATCTGGTTCCACTCTTTGCTATCCTCTGACCAAAACAGCCCTCTTTCAGTTCCTTTCAATGCCTTTCCCACCCTGACCTCCCCCCTCCTTCAGATCCATGCTGGTTGTATTCACTCTGACCACCAACTGTCTTAACTTAATAGCATACTCAACGCTTCAAAATCTGATTCAGTTATTCACTCTACCCCTAGCAATATCTTGTAAAGATAGCCCTATTTTTTTTTCTCTAGACCAGAGGTCAGCAAACTAAGGCCTGTGGACCAAATCCCGCCTGTTTTTGCAAGGCCCATGAGCTATGTATGGATTTTACTATTTTAAACAGTTGGGAAAAAAATAAAAATAATAATATTTTGTGACATGTGAAAAGTACATGAAATCCAAATTTCAGTGTCCATAAATAGAGTTTATTAGAACACAGCCACACGCATATAGTCTGCTTTCAGACTATGACAGCAGAGTCAAATAGTTAAAACAGTATATGGCACTCACTGCCTCCTACTGCTGCTCAGTGCACTATAAACCGCAGTGATGTACTTATTAACTTCACAGCACAGAGTGCCATGAGTATCACCATGACATGACACGCACCTTTTATTATTACCAGTGCATATCTGTTATGTCAAAACAAGAAAAGATAGAAAGGCACTTCAAATGTCTAACTTTTAAAGCACAGTGGAATGTGGATCATTTTGTTATTAAATCAGATAGCAAAGCAATGTGCTTTTTATGCAATTGTACTATAGTTGTCCTAAAAGAATACAACATATGTTGACCATATCATACCAAGCACTCATGTCAGTATTCCTAACTCACAGGTAATCAACAGTCAGAAAAAAGGAGAAAATTTAAGACAGAATATCTATAACAGTGAAATTTCTCCACAAAAAAATAAAGTGAGGCTGCAACCAAAGTTAGGTTTTGAAATGGCTCATTTGTTAGCCAAGTAAGGAAAGCCACTTACCAAAAGAGTTAATTAAATCAGCACTATTTTATTGCAGTAGCCAAAGTTACACATGCAGAGAACATAAACTTCTGACTACTAGACTTTCAGTGAGAATAAGGCCCAGATAGTTGAAGATATTATTAGAGCAACATCAAAATTCAATTTCAAACCAGGCGAATGATTTGGAGGTTCTCCCTAGTTCTTGATGAGTTACAGATGTTACCAACATGTACTGCTCATACTGTTACCGACATTATCTGTTTATTTCAGAAGTCAGTGCTAGGTTTGAAGTGACCAAAGAATTAATCTCTATGAAGAGTCTACATGCAATTACTGGTCAGAATATCTTGAAAAAAGCTGAAAAAATGCTAATTCTGTACAACCTGAAGTAGTTGCTAAAATGTGCCACAAGTGGTGGTAAAAAGAAAAGACTTAAGTGGACAAATTTACAAAGCTTGTAAAAATGTAAGACTCTAAAGCCTGTGGTATTCATTTCATTATTCATCAGTAGGTACTTTGTAGTAAATATTTGAATCTATCATGTGTTAATGAATCAGTAGTGTTAACAGTGGACTTCAGGGACTTCCCTGGCAGTCCAGTGCTTAAGACTTTGCCTTCCAGGGACTTCCCTGGTGGTGCAGTGGTTATGAATCCACCTGCCAACGCAGGGGACAGGGTTCAAGGCCTGGTCCGGGAAGATCCCACATGCCTCGGAGCAACTAAGCCCGTGAGCCACAACTACTGAGCCCACGTGCCACAACTACTGAAGCCAGCACACCTAGAGCCCATGCTCTGCAAGAAGAGAAGCCACCGCAATGAGAAGTCCGCACACTGCAATGAAGAACAGCCCCGACTCGCCGCAACTAGAGAAAGCCTGTGCGCAGCAACGAAGACCCAATGCAGCCAAAACTAAATTAATTAATTAATTAAAAAAAAAAAAAGACTCCGCCTTGCAATGCAGGGGGTGTGGGTTTGATCCCTGGTCGGGGAGCTAAGATCCCACATGCCTTGCAGCCAAAAAACCAGAACATAAAACAGAAACAATATTTTAACAAATTCAATAAAGACTTTAAAAATGGTCCACATCAAAAAAAAAATCTAAAAACAAAACTAAACAAAAAAACAGTGGACTTCAATTCACTTTCATGAACTCATCTTCAGTTCTGGAAATTTCTGTCAGAAATAGAAGCTGAAAATTCTGACTTGCCCTACTGCACAGTAGTTCTATAGCTTGGCGGTGGTAAACTTTTACTGCAATTTTTTCTTGCTCAGGACTGAGACTGAAATTTTTCTGAATGAGAAGAACCAATTTTATCCACTATTGTTGAACATTAAATAGCTTTTGAAGTTAGTTTTTGCTTCAAACTTGACAATGTCTCTTAATGAATTCAACCTAAAGTTACAAAATTGTCTAAAAGGCAAACAGTGCTTAGTACTAATGTGAAACTCATAATGCAATAAAGTTACTCTAATCACAACTAACACTGATTGAATCACAAGTAATATCAAGCTGCTTTATATACTTTCCACACGTCAAATATTAAAACAAATAGCAAGATCTCTATTGCTGAGTATATTTTCTGAGCTCAAACTATGTTCCAGCAGCACTTTTTTTCAGACGTTGTTGCAAATGCAAAGGAAATTTCCATATTTCAAAATCCATTTAACTGAGCAATTGAGGAGCCTCCACCTAACCTTCAATTGGAAGTGATTAATCTAGAATGTAATGACATCCTAGAAGACAAATATCAAGAGAAGTTTTAATAAAACACTATACATGCCTTCTAAGTGATGAATATGCTTAATTAAAATCATATGCTTATCAGCTGATATCAATATTTGGTAGTACCTATCTGTGTGAAGAGACATTTCCAAAGATGAAATTTATAAAATCTCATTACAGGTCAGTATTAACATATGAACATTTGTAATCAATGCTAATGATAGGAAATACTAACTCTGAACCCCAGTTAAGCAAAATGTCATCCCCAAAAGAATAATTCCATTCTTTTCATCAGTAGACTTATACTACAAAAAAACTGTACTCAATTGTTGTATTTTAAAATTCATAAATACAACTTTGTGGAAATTTGTTTTCTCTCTTCTAATAGGCATATTTATAAAACATCCTTGATTTTGCCTCTTGGCCCACAAAGTCTAAAATATTTACAGTCTGGCCCTTTACAGAAAAAGTTTGCTAACCTCTGCTCTATAGATCCTACAGTCTCCTACTGTAGTGCTTACCATATCATTCCATAGCTCTTCATTTATAGTGATACATCTATGCCTTCCCAACTGAACTATGAGTTACTTTAATGCTTGTAAATAAAGCAGGTAGGTAGTACAGTGCCTGGTTTTACATTTAAATACTTGCTAAATGATGTTGAATGAATGGCTATGAATCTCTAGGAGAGAGGCAGGCAAGAAGTAATCAGCATTCCTCTGAATCATTCCTTCACATTTCAAAGTTAATTACAATCTGCCTCTCCCACCTAGATTTTTAATTCCAACTTTCTAAAAATGTAACTTTTGCCACTGGTAGAAGACATAAAAAGGGGCCAAGAGGAATCAAGAGTGTATTTTGATTCATGCCTATTTCTACCTCCTGGGCTCTTCCCTAAGTTTTCTTTCCAGGCTTTCCAATTCTTCAACAGTGAAATAAACTACAGTAAAAAGACATATGGTAATACCTATCAGTTAACCTACATTGCTAACCTACATGCATTCATTAACAATGACATATACCTACCGATCTTTCATTGTTAATTGCTGTTATCAAATACTTACTGTTCCTTGTTCTAATAAAAGTTGACACTTGCTGAGACATTCTGGGCTGTCAATAAGTTCCAGGAGTGCTTTCTCAGCCTCTATTCTTTGTGTAAGATCAGTCCCTATGTAGAGATGAGTACATAATACTTCCAATTCAGCCAAACTCTTAAGAAGAAAAAAAAAAAAAATTAACATTTTACTTGAGTGAAAAAAAATAAGGTAAATATATTAATCACAGGAAACGAGGAATGCAAATACCATGTGTGTATCTGTCAAATCAATAAATGCTTATTGAGCTACAACTACTTACTAGGGGTCACAGTGATGAACAAAAAAAAGGCAAACCTCCTACCTCTAAATTATTTAAATTGATAGTTCTGTGATAGCAAAGTAAGAGTACAGAAAGAGGAGGACTTGTCTAATCCAAGGGGTTTAAAAAGGCTGGCCTAAAGTATATAGTAACATTTATGCTGACCAGAAAGGGTAAGCCATATGAAAAAGACTAGACAGCAGTTCAGGCAAAGACACAGCATTTACCAGAGGCCAGAATAGAGCTTAATCGTTTCAAGGCATTAAAAGGTCAGTATGACTGGTAGACAGCCAGCCAGGAGGAGTTGCCAAAAGAAGCTAAAGAGATGGGTAAGGGGAATTATCATGTGCAAGTTGCAGACATTATGCCAATTTACATTCTTTTTCAGGTTATAAGAACTTCAATGGTTCCATCTATATAAAAGAAAAGATATAAATATACGCTGATGTGGGTCTTCAGAACTAATGACTCATAGTGCTGCAGGTAAACTATGGCATGATTCTCAGGAACTATGACTTGACCCCATGTTACTTATAGCAGTGTAATAACTAGCTATCATCTTGTAGGCTCCTATTTTACAGACATAAAGAATAATTCATTCCGGCTATCATCAGAAAGAACACAAATAACAAATGTTGGCAAGGATGTGGAGAAAAGGGAACTCTCATACACTGTTGGTGAGAATGTAAAGTGGTACAGCCACTGTGGAAAACAGTATGGAGGTTCCTCAAAAAACTAAAAGGAGAACTACCGTATGACCCAGCAATTCCACTCCTGGGTATATAGCCAAAAAAAAAAAAAAAAAAACAACACCAAAAACACTAATTCAAAAAGATACATGTGCCCCAATGTTCACAGCAGCATTATTTACAATTGCCAAGATATGGAAGAAACCTAAGTGTCCATCAACAGATGAATGGATCAAGAAGATGTGGTATATATATATACAATGGAATATCCCTCAACCATAAGAAAGAATGAAATTTTACCACTTGCAGTAACATGGATGGACCTGAAGGGCATTACGCTAAGTGAAATAAGTCATACAGAGAAAGACAAATACCGTATGATATCACTTATATGTGGAATCTAAAAATTACAACATACTAGTGAATATAACAAAAAAGAAACAGACTCACAGAAACAGAGAACCAACCAGTGGTTACCTGTGAGAGGTAATATAGGGGTGGGGGGAGTGGGAGGTACAAATTACTGGGTGTAAGATAGGCTACAATGATATGTTGTACAACACAGGGAATATAGTCAATATTTTATAATAACTGTAAGTGAAGGGTAACCTTTAAAAATTGTATTAAAAATATATAGGGAGGACAAACAAGCCAATTTAAAAAATAAAAATAAAAAAGAATAGTTCATTCTGTTTATAAATATAATCTAATCTGAAGATATAGGACACATGGATAAAATCTGAAAGAAAAAATTCTAAATGAGTTCAGTATTCCTCTCAGCTTTAGAGAATTTTTGTTAAAGGTGTCTTACTAAAACTACTTCAGTTTGAACTTAGAGAATTATTCTTTGGAGGACAAAAAAAACTGGCACAGATTTCAGCGTCAGGTGGGCATATGAAGGTAATGGGATATTCATAAAGATTTACTATTTTTTATCCTTTCTGACCTGAATTTTTATGTGGCAGCCTTACAGCTACACTAATCTAAACATTCCGTCAAATGCATGTACCTCTGTCTAACAGGAATACATAAGAAACACTGAAATGAAACCTCCTCTAGCTCCCTTTATTCTTTTTACTTTTCTCTGCTTAGTTTCTTTATGGCATTTTCCACTTCTCTATCCAGCTCAGAGCCCAACATCTCAGACTAGGGAATTTTTTGCTAGAGCGAAAATAAAAGTACAAAAGAAAGGTTTCAAAAGGATAAATTAGGATAAAGGATGGCAAAAATGAACCACATTTTAAACATTTCCTCTACTTAGATTGGCCCAAGAAGCCCTCCGAGTGCTACTACATACTTTTCATCATATTAAAATGCATAGAAAATTTATGGTTCATGAATACATATGAATTCCCATATTTCCTCCAAGGGTAAGAAACACAAAAATGAAAAGAGCTACCTTTTTCCCTCTCATGACTCATGATCAACCCCAGAAACCTTTTCCTTCATCTAATAAATTTGAAGGGCTAAATTTTAGAGCTGATAATACCCAGAATAATTTAAAGATAAACTGATCCTGCTGTCACGCATTCATCTAGGTCTACGAGTCTCTGAAGAAGTAGACTTTTTGAGTATAAAAAAGAACAGAGCCAGAAATACTGAGAAAACCTAACTGCTGAAAAACAAAAGGTCGGCTGGGACGATTAAATGAGTTAGGGCCACATAACTTCTGGCACACATTACACACCACAAACGTTAGCTGTTTATTATTAGTATCACCTAATAAGAATATTGTAATAGGTGGAATTGTATCCTCCTAAAAGATATATCCAAGTCCTAACCACCAGTCCCTTTGAATTATTTTCAAATACGGTCTTTGCAAATCCTGATCTAGGGATGAGATCATCCTGGATTTAGGGCAGACTCTAAATCCAATGATTCATAAGAGAGAGGGACATATGAGATGCAGCGACACAAGAGAAAAAGTCATTAAAAAGGAGGCAAAGATTGGGGTGATGCATCTACAAGCCAATGGACCATGAACTGCAAGCAGCTATCAGAAACCAGGGACAAAGCACAGAACAGTTTCTCCCTCAAGCCCTCTAAGAAGAGACCAACGCTGTCACACATTAATTTCAGACTCTGGCCTCTGGTATAAAAGAATAAATTTTCTGGGACCTCCCTGGTGGTCCAGTAGTAAAGAATCCACCTTCCAATGGAGGGGACGCGGGTTTGATCCCTGGTCGGGGAACTAAGATCCCACAGGCTGCGGGTCAACTAAGCCCAAGAACCACAACTACAGAGCCCACGCACCCTGGAGCCTGCACACCACAACTACAGAGAGAAAACCTGCACGCCACAACTAGAGAGAAGCCTGCACACTGCAATGAGATCCCGCATGCTGCAACTAAGGCCTGACGCAGCCCCCAAAAATAAAGAAAATAAATATAAAATAAAATAAAATAAAAATATAAAGCTAAAATAGCTTCTAAAAAATAAAGAATAAATTTTCGTTGTTTTAACCCACCCAGTTTGTGGTAATTTGTCACAACAGCCCCAAGAAACTAACACAAACATTAATATTAATCAATTCAGTGGCACCTAAGTAAATCTATTTGGAAATATTCTGAAAAAGTTCTGGAATTTTGTCTTTTTTGCTATACTGATTTAGTGAACTCCAACAGAAAACAAGTCTGAAATGTATTTAAAAAGTATTTGTTTACAACAATGTCCCAAATGCCTTTCAAATTATTAACCACCGAAAGGCAGTGAAAGATAAAAAGGTAAAGGTTTGAACTTTATCTTAAGAAAGACTGAAACAAAGTGGAAAAAATTAAGTTATTCTTTCACTGTAATGATAATTAAATAAATGCCTGGCATACTATTGATAAATCTTTTTAGAGAAAAGGATACATACACAAAGATCCTTACCCTGGTGGAAAAGCATTATCTAAACATTTCAAGTAGTTAAACTTGTGATGACTGCTGAGTGACCAAGCAATCTTCTGATTAGCATTTGATTTTCCAGAAAATCTGTCTATAAAGAGAGACTATTTTTCATGGTGAACTGATAAACTGCATCTTAGTTTTATAAACTGATGTCTGAGAATATGGTTAATGTAAGAATGCCTCAGAGAAATGGATCCCAGCTTGTTGACAAACCGGGTTTGAGTTATTAAAGCTTCTACATGGCTTCATATCACCATAAGAAGCCCATATAAATAAATTAACAGGTAACACAAGTAGAATTGGATATCACCTAACTCCCATCGATAAACTATCAAACATAAACACAGCACCCAACTTCCATAGCCTAGGAGACAATGACATAATCCTGCCTACAGTCTAAATATCTTCCAAGTTATTCTGGACTCACTTCTGCACTTTGTACTTGACATACAATTAACCAGTAAATGATGTGACTTCTTTCTATACAGTAATTCCCATCATGTATCCATCGACAGGTAAATGCCTAGTAAAAGAAGCAAGACAAAAAGAGTATATATTGTATGGTTCTATAGTGAAAGAAAGCAGATCAGTGGTTTCAGGCTGGGGAGGGAGGAGAGAGTGGGAGAAAAGGATAGGGAAGCAGCAAGGGGGGATTACAAAGGAGCATAAGGAAACTTTGGGGGGGGGGTGATAGATATGGTCATTATCTTGATTTCCGAGATGGTTTCACAGTTAATATACTTACGTCAAAATTCATCCAAAAGGACATTTTAAGTATGTGCAGTTTATTATTTGTCAATTATACCTCAAGAAAGCTGGAAAAAAATGAAGGTTTTTTTGTCCTAGGGAAAAATGTCCCCTAACAATAAAACAATAAATCGATGAGCCACAAAAAAATCCCAGCTCAATTAAACTTAAACTCCTTTCAATTACTTCCCTGTATCTTTCCTGCCTTCTGGAATTAAGCTTCTTGACTACCATTAATAGAAAGTGCCTTTATCTTAAAGGTACTCATTTTCCATAAACTCTTTGTTTTTTCCTCCCTTTACTACCTTTTCCCGAGCATACCTGAGGGCTTATTTCTGGGCCTCTTAGAACTCCTTCTTCTACAATGAATTGGATCATATTTGTTTTAGTGCTTTAAAGGTTTACAAAAGTATTTCCATCTTCTATTTTTTTAAACCAATTCTAAAAAGTAGACTCCTGTAAAGTACATATTTTTAGTACCCACTGTACAGACAAAAAAAAGAACTGAGGCTGAGAGATCAAATACATACGTATACACACATATATATATCTAAACACACACACACACACACACACACACGTTGCTCAAGATAAGAGTAAATGGTCAATTCTGAGCCACATACAAATCTGTGGGCCCCAAGCACATGTTGTCTCCTCAGCACCTTGCCATCTTACCACCCTTGACTTTAGTCATCATATACCTGCAGGTGATGTCCTAGTCCACACTTTCAACTGTCTATTCACCACCTTTATATTTATCTACAAACTTCTTCTTGGAAATCAAGAAAGATGTTGAAAACAGCCCCAAAATGTCAGGAACTGAACTGAACATATTTCCCACAGATTTTCACATCAAGTGTCCCTTTGTTTTCAGTGGTTTCGGAGGTGTAGACCAGAATCTAGACTTACAATCTTGATGTTATCTTTTACTTTTCCTTCTCCTTAGTCCCTCCTATATAGTTAAGAGTTTGGCCTTGCCCAAAGAAAAAGTCTGGTCTTTGCCCTCAGATTCTGGGAGGTAATCTACGTCTAAGATAGGAATGTTTGTGTTCAGGGTGGGGGCGGGGTGTGTATGTGTGTGTGTAGCAGACCACACCCCATAGTTGTAAATTGGTGGCTGGCCATCCCAAAGACCAACCCTGTGTTTTAGGGTGGGGACTTTAGACTGCTCAGTATCATCTGACCTAAAGACTGAGCTCAATCATGTGGCAACCAACCAGTCAATCAATGACTACATAAAGAAGCTCCAATAAAAACTCCAGAACTCAAAGCTCAGGTGCACTTCCCTGGTTTGCAATACTTGGTGCTTACGGCCACACATATATGCTGGGAGAGTAACATATCCTGAGGACAACAAAAGCTTTGTTTGAGAACCTTCCCAGATTCAGCCTTATGTATCTCTTCTTTAATCAATTTTAATCTGCATACTTTCCTGATAATAAACCGAGTATGACAGCTTTCAGTGAATTCTGTGAGTTCTTCTGTTAAACTATCAAACCTGAGAGTGGTACTGGGAAAACCCCAAATATGCAGGTGGTGTCAGAAGTGAGAACAGTCTTGCAAACTGTGCCCTCAAACCTCGCAGTTTGGCTAATTCCAGGTACCCACCTAATTTATCACAAAATCTTACCAATTCTTTTAAAATAAAGACTCAGACTCAACACCTCTACATGATATTCATAGACAGTAGATCAATAGAAGAGTATTTTCCAACTGTGGCCTACAGTGCCCAGGATTTCTTTAGGGGCTTCTTTGGGAATCAGAGTGGAAGCTTTGGAATCTGTCCAATTACTTATTAAGTGACCTCAAGCAAATTATTTAAATTTTCTAAACCTCACTTTTGAAACTACAGGTGGTAATATCCACCATCTAAAATAATTGTGAAGATTCCATCTAAAATAATTGTGAAGATTAAGACAGAAAAGACGAGAGAAAGCTTAATCCACCTCCTGGCACACAGCAGATCTACACAAATTGTAAATAATCTCTTCAGTTAATTATGAAACACCACATTGGTCTTTTGTCTATAGTTTCTCCCATTCAACTCCATACAGGATGATCTTTTCCAAACCCCTTTCTCATCATGTTACCATCGTATTCAACTATAATAGTTCACAATCACATCTAGATCATATCAGGTATGCCTGATCATATCAGAATGCCTGGCTGGCTATTAAGCATGACTATAGTCCCAGGTTCTGGAATAATCCTGAAAGCTAAAAAGATCGACCAACTGCATCTCCTAAATTTTTCCTAATGTTATCTCTTGATTCTCATCAAGGTCCTTCTGTTAAATCTTAAGTGCCTACCTCCTACTTGGTCCCAGAAATATCTTTCCTCACTCTGTCCCCTACCCTCTAATCTGGACTGTCTCCTCTCAGATAATCCAGATCCATTTCTTCCTTTGGGACAGAGTACCCTAACCCACAGCTTCCTAACCAGAATGCATGTGCCTTGAATGGTTACAGTATGTCAGGGACATTGATCCCCTTGTCCTCCAGTCAGGCTTTTGGTTATGAGCAGTTTATGTCAATGAACTACACAATTACCATTTTTTATGTATGCCATGATGTGAAAAAGACTGTGAAGCAGTGACCTAACTTCCCCTTACATAAATTCACTTATTTACTTATCAAAATGGCATAATTTTTCACTAACTTCCCTGTTGGGTAGATGACAGTAAGATATTGGTAGGAAAGAAGGTGGAATCATGAGTTATTAGGACTACTCTAATTCTGTAGCCTTGGGCAAGTCACAATTGTTCTAAGACTCAGTGTCTTCAGGGGTAAAATGTATATATGCACATAAGTAGGGGGATTGGCTCCAGGACACCCTGCAGATACCAAAACCCAAAGATGTTCATGTACCTTATATAAAATGGCATAGTATTTGCCTATAACCTCTATACATCTTCTCAAATACTTTAAATCATCTCTAGATTACTTAAAATACCTAATGTAAATGCTATGTAAATAATTGTAAATTCAATGTAAATACTATGCAAATAGTTGTCACGGGTGCAGCAAATGGAAGTTTTTTGGAGCTTTCTGGAATTTTGAGAATATTTTCAATCTACAGTTGGTTGAATCCACAGATGCAAAACTCAGGGATACAGCAAGCCGACTGTATATGCACACCTCTCAAGCTAGTTGTGGGGCTGAACATCTACAACAAGCATGTGAAAATTCAAAATGCTAGGTACCAGTTATCATTAGTAATAAAGGCTCCTTGAGTTAACTGGGTAACAATATGATCCATATGCTGAAAACAATTCAAACTGAGAAGGTTCAGAGCTTAATTCTGGCCCCCAAAATCATCAGGTTTTTTATTTGTTCAACTCCACTTTTAAGCTTCCCAGAACTGCTGTGAATTACATTCCTAGGAAACCAATTTGGGTAATTTTGGCATTAGCAGCTCATTTTTCCACCACTACCTAAGTATGAAGAAATCTTCCAGACTGGGTCATTTACTATTATGCATCATCTTTCCAAGTCTGAAACTGTTCCAAACTTCCACCATAGTTTTTTTTTTTGGCTGCGCTGGCTCTTTGATGCGGTGTGTGGACTTGGTTGCATGTGGGATCTTCGTTCCCTAACCCGGGATCAAACCCGCATCCCCTACATTGGTAGGCAGATTCTTAACCACTGGTCCGCCAGGGAAGTCCCCAAAACTTCCACCACAGTTTTTAATTGCCCTCAAGATTTACACCTGAATTATGAACACCTGTTTACCTATTTACAATCCCAAAGTCCTCCCTGTGAAATTCCTCCTGTGAAGATTTCCAAAGGGCATATTTACTAAAGTGGTAATAAATAATATTATTTTGACCTGGAGACGCTTAGAAATGGCAAGGAGTCAAAAGGTAATGTGTCAGGCTTACTACCTCCTTAGCTGTCAATTACCTGACAGGAGAGTGGCTGATTGAAAAGAAAAGACCCTTTGGAAGAATCAATAATTAAGTAGTGAGTCACTGTAGTCACAGGGGATCCAAAGAAATCTACAAAGGGTTGGGACACTTAGATACACTGTCAGCATATTATGAAACTGCCTACCTCTCCAAGGTCATCTCCTGCCTCCACAGGCTTCCCTGCTCCCTTCCCTTTTATATAAACCTTAAGCTCCAGCCAAACCGAACTTCCTGCAGTGTGCCATGTTCTTCCACAATTCTTTGACTTGGCTCACACTGTCGTTTTGCCTCTATACCCTTCCTTCCTCTTCGCCTGGCCAACTCCTACAATTCTTTCAGTATCCACTAGACTGCAAGTTTCCTGAGTGTACAAATCATAAAGTTTTGCTAGAGCTATATCTTAAGGGCCTAGCAAAGTAGGAACTACAATACATTAGTGGATGAACAGAAGCTCAAAAAAGCTTGCCTGAGAAGCACAGCAGCTCTGCCTCACTCCTTCCCAACACACACACACACGGCTGACTGCCCCTTTTCAATGTCCCATGATATCCTGTGATTAATTCTATCATACCATTTTTCACATGTACTATATAATTATCCGTGAATTCCATGAGGGCAAGTATGGTAAGATGATGTAATCCTTTATCCCAGAACTTTGCACCACGCTTGAGACACGTGGGGGGCGGGGGGAGGCTCTATAAATGTTTGTTGTATGAATAACTAGATGCATATGCTAGAGTGCCCGAGAATACGTGAGCCTTCCTCCAGCCCGCGTCCCATCCAGACCATCTCCGCTCCTAGCGCGCGTCCTGCCCCCGTTTCCTCCTCCAATGAAGCTGCTGCAGAGCCCTCCTTCGCAACTCCCCATATACACAGCCCCTGCCCGCTCTGGCCAATTAAAGTCCAACTGCTGCGCCCTCCATCGGCGGACCCAGGCCCCTTCTCGAGCTCCGTACGAACTGTGTGGAGGCAGACGATGGAACCGCGGCCCACGACGCGGCGGGAAGGCTGGTCCGGCCAGGCTCCCACCTGCTAGGGCGCCGCCGAAGCCTCCGTGCGCGCCGTACGGCGGCACCGAGGAGAGCGGGCTCCCACGCGGCCGGTCCTCAGCATCCGTACCTCCCCCGAGGGGCGAGCTCCAGCCTGGCCCCTGCCCCTCCACCGTCAACCCCAAGCTCTGGCCGCCCCTTCTTCGGGCCCGGGCCCGGGGTGTGCAGCCCAAGCCAGTGCGTGGGTCCCTGGCGGGGGACGAGGGCTGGGGCTCCGAGGCACCGGCCCGCGACCCTGCGGCCTCCGCCACCGGCCTCGGCCCTCAGTCTCCAGACCCCAGCGTCCCGCCAGGTTCCCGGGGCGGCTGACCGGCGGAGCGAGAACCCGCGGCGCAAAGCTCACTGACCTGAAAGTGCAGCGCCATCTTCCCGGGGGGCGGCGCCAGTCGGCGCCCCGAGCGCCCGAGGGGAGGGAGCGTAGGCGGGCGCCGCAGAAGCCCCAGCAGCTCGCTGGGTCCCTGCGCCACTCGCTAGCTCGCTCGTTGCCTCGGCCGAGCTGCCTTCGCGTTCGAAGCTCCGGACTGGGCGGGGCTGACGGGGAAGGACGGGGTGACGGAGGCGGCGCGCTCGGGGCCAGCCCGAGAGGGGCGGGGCCGGGGGCCAGGAATCTCAACCGCCACCACCCCCATCACCCCTCCCCGTTCTCATGCTTCAACTTCCTCAGGTGAGTCGTGACTTCAGACCTCCGGCCCTTGAGGCAACCACCACCACCCAACTGTCAGCCATGACCCCTGACCTTACATCTCCCACAGACTCTCTTGACCTCTAACCCCTAGAGCATAGTTATTGCCCATGCCTTCTAACTCCCCCATCTCCACATCTTTTCTTGTCCACCGAACACCCACTTGCCAATGACAGATCAGCCATAACCTTTGACTCCTACATGCCAGCTGCTGTCCTTGATTCCTGACTCCCAGAACCCAGCTTTCACTTTTTTTAAAAACTTTATTTTGGTTAAAATTAAACTGACAGTATCTACTACATATTGTTAAGTTATAAAATTCTAGTTCACTTCTTGTCTAGATTTCATTTAACATGAACTTATATTTTACACTGAATGATTCCATTGGAATGAGAATTTATTTGAGGAGAAGTAGGCCAAAGTCACTCCTTTCTGAAAGGAGTTCCTCCTGAAGTTTGACACTTCCAGTTGGGGTCATTGTACTTTAGTGTGAAAAATTCCTTTAATACCTCTTATAGTTCATGTTTACTAGTGGCAGATTCTCTCAGCTTTTGTTAACATGAAAACGTCTTTATTTCACTTACATTTTTAAAGGATAGTTTTGTTGGGTATAGAATGCTATTTTGGCTTTTAAAATTTTTTTTGAGCATTTAAAAAATGCCTTTCTCTTGATTTCTGGTTACCATTGTTTCTGTTCAGAAATTAGCCATCAGTCTGATTGCTGCTCCTCTGAAGGTAATATGTTTCCTTCTCCCACCCCTGGCTGCTTTAAAATTTTTCTCTTTCTTTTGGTCTTTAGCAGTTTGAGTGTGATATAACTCTGTGTGTGTGTGTGTGTGTGTGCTCCTGCTTGGGGTTCATAAAGCTTCTTAAATATGAGATCTGATGGGGTTTTTTATCAGTGTCTGAAAATTCCCAGTCAATATTTCTTTAAATACTGTTTCTGTCCCTTTCTCTCTCTCTTCTCCTTCTGAAACCCCAAGTACATGTGTGTTAAACCTTTTAGAGTTTTCCATGTCTCTTATACTCTTTTCTGTATATTTTGTCTTTTTTCCTTGTCATGCTTTAATCCACATATTTTTTACTGACCTTTCACCCAAGTCAGTAGAAACTCTATTCTGCTGTGTCTGAGCTGGTATTCAACCCCTCTGTTGAATTCTTAATTTTAGTTATAATATTTTCAGTTCCAGAATTTTCATTTGACTCCTCCCTTTCCATTCTTTGAATAGATTCCAAGGCTCTGGTGAAATTCTTTATCATTCCTCTATTTTCTTGAACATTTTAATTATATTATGTAAAGCCTGTGACTCATAACTCCGATATCTGAATCAGCTGTGGGTCCTCCTGGCTTTTAGTATTTGGTCCTATTTTTTTCAAGTGTGCCTCAATAATTTCTTATTGAATGTCAGACAGTGTGGAAGAAAAACTGTAGAGGTTCTGGACGATATCAGCTTTCTCCAAAGAAGGTTTTTTAAAATTTTTTATTGTAGTAGGCAGATAGAATGCCAGAGGATCACTCCAATTCTGTAAGACTTGGCTTTAGGCTTTTAAATTCAGGTTTATTTCCGTTTTACCCTTATTCCTAGGTCATGGTCCTCAATAGATCTTACAACTAAAAGCCTGGGATGTTTACTAAGACACCTTCACCCTGTTGGCTTGAACTCTTAATCCCTGTCTCCCCATCGCTGTGCAGCTACCAAAATCTCTGTTCGACTCTTTAGATGCTGCTCTTCTGCTGAGTTTCTTAAAGTCTTTCC